ATCCCTCCGCTTGACAATCATGAAAAGTGCTTGTCATCTAACTTAATAAATTAATTGACTTTTCCTTAAATTCAAACATCGTATGAATCCGATTTTCGTGTGTCAGAAATAGTACATTGTGTAGTTTCAAGATTGCGGACACAGATAAGGTAATCGGTAAATTGCTTGCAAAAATAGATTCATGACCGGGAGGGAGGGAGGTGTGTGTGCGGTACTGGCGGAGGTGTTGTTGTGCGCGAATGTTCCCGGACTTTGTGTGTCAGAAATGCGATTCGAAGTACGGGATGCGAATAGTCGCGCAAGATCTGAGAGCAACAACTGCCAAATAACCGTACGTTCCAACCAGCTTCTCCATTGGGCCTCACACCTGCTGATTCCGAGCAATGCTAATGTGTTTTTTTCCTCGGATGAATTTAGTCTAAAAATCGATTGTTGTAGCAATACTGAAAACTCTCATCTTTCACGGTGTTTTTTCATTCCGATAAATTCTTTTGCCTCAGATAGTGTGTCATTCCGTTTTGTGCTCCAGTGGACAATTTATCAACGTTTATGCCGCTCATTGGATTTAACTGTTTGAGTCAAATTTCTTTCATTGCTTTTATGATTAACTACATCCCGGGATCTTCAAAGAATTTAGAACCCTATGGGTGGCATTCGTTATCCGGTCAGTTGAAAATAGATACAAAAAGTGCAAACCGTCAAGGTCAGGTTTCTTTTGAAAAAGCACGAGCAGGTTGGCAAGTGATTTAAGCGATGAAAAACCCAGAAAATTTCCATACCCGCCGTTTGCTCATAGAGCGTACAATCAATATTAGAAAAAATGAGCGATTTCACGAAATTTGTATGGATAAAAAATATTCATTGGGGATAGTTATACTGAAAGAAAAGTGGTTGCATCCTAACATCAACGACTTTCTGGTTGATTTAGATTTCTTATACATGCACTGGTTGGATATAAACTGTTTACTACGAAATCTAGATGCCAATTTACGAAGATTATCTCCACTGACAACATTCGTCAAGTATTTCGGTTGAATGTGAACCCAGTTCTCTTACCAAATACCGTTCTATCACAGAATCAAACATTTACATCGCACCCACCTGTACAACTTCTGATGCNGCACAGACGTTTGCTGATTTATTTATACTCAAACGTTCTAATTACACTGAGGCTCCCTTTTTATCGTTAGTGGTGAGTTGAACCATGTTGATGTTTATTTATGGACCTGTCCGTCTCTCTTCATAATCTTGAAAACTTCCCCACAAGATGAAACACACAGCTCGACCTGATGTTTTGAATAATCCTGATCGGCATGCTGTCCGAAGAGGAGCCCCTCTGGAGACTCCCATGATTGTATCGAAAATGTTTTGCCAAAAACCTACTCAAAATGACATCATGGTACACTGAAAACTACATCCAACCGGAAGATTTTTCATAGGCTTTGTGACCTGGTGCACTTGACATTACGTAGAGAAATGGTCCTTCTATAAATTTTGATCCCCCCCCCTCCATGACCCAAGTGTCTCAGTCGAGTGTGAAAAAATCACTGACTTTGCGTTGATCTCAACTACCCCATGGCCCCTATGCGCATCAACCCGTCCAGATTTTCTTCCCTCAATTTGAAGACAATCAAAAGAATCAAAGAACAGGCATATAAAACTCCTGACTGAGCTTTAGTTAAACAAACGTCACTATTGGTCAAGATTGATGTGCAGGCAGACTCTACACTGAAACCCTACTTGGTGATCAGAATTGGAAGCAAATCTGGAGTGCAATTAAAAAATCCGTGGAATAAAAGTCAGAATACATGGGCCTCAACCGAAAACAGCTGAACTCAGCTGCGTGCTTACCACGCCAACTCAGACTGGAGTATTGGGATCATATTTCCATGTGCATTAGAATCAGTTGCGGGCACAGCTAACGTGCCTCGAAACAACAAAAGCCTCCGGTTCTGACGGATTGTGTCTTGTCATGCTCAGGGAATGTGCGTATTATCTGGTTGATCTACCTACCGGTAAGTTCAACAATTGCTTCGAGGAACGAAAATTATCAAATGTTGGAGACCCGTGAGCATCATACCAGTCCCCAAAAGGAAACCGGGAAATTTCAACTAATCGACTGCACTTTTACTTCATTAAAGGCTTTGGAAAAGTTTATACTTAATGACAATATTCCCAAAGCTGCGCAGTTAGATCACAATCAATTTGCTAATCGTGAATAACATTCTCCCTTTGCACACTTGGTAAACGCAGTTTTGAAATCACCAAGCAAACATGGCACAGCATTTCATGTGCCTCTAGTCGATAACAGTAATGCATCTAATTTTGTCGACAGCGTCAGGTTTTTGTCCCTGCTTTGTAGGGCTGCATTATTCATCAATACACTGGCTCTACTCCAAGGTTATTTTATTGGTAAAAAACAGTTCACGAACTGACTTGGAGAATTTTCTAACTCGCTATCGGTAAAATCAGGGATGATCCACGGAGCAGCACTGCCCGTTTTACTTTTATTTCAATTTTCGAGATCTACAAACTGACCCAGATGATCTTATCAAATAGGCTG